AGCAGAAGGCGTACGGAACTTTGGCGTCGTCTGACGTACAGGCGGAGACGATCGAGCAGTTGGTGAGCCTTCCATGGAAAGCAGTAGTATTGAGGTACTTCGAAGAAGAAATGAGGACTACGCCGAGAATACATGCTCTCGTGGCAGTACCTTACGTAAGGACAGAGCTACAACTCAGGTTCGCCTGGTGCATGATGGGACTGACTCGCGAAGAATACGACTCAGAAGAAAGAAAGAGGTCAAAAGAGGAAAAGGTGTTCCTTGTGACGAATCTGAGGGATCTGATAGTCCAGGAAGGAGCAGCAGTAGCATGTGCGAAGCGGAGAGATGCTCTCTGTTTCATTCGATTCCTGATAGAGCAGATTTCAGTACCTGCACTGAACAGTTGTGTTAAAATGTTGAGGGAAGGTGATGAACGAACGAAAGCCTTGTTCTTGCTGGCATTGCTGGACATGCAGCAAAGTAAACCGATGAGGGTGAACATGAAAGAACCTGAAGAACTGGAACCCATGAAAAAGATAGATGAGATCAGGAGGTTCTCAAACAAGGAGGTGAGACTCACTAAAGAATCTATGGGAGCATTGCCGAAGTCCAGTGAATACTGTGGACCGATCAAGAAGAAGTCATATAGCTACGTATCTGGGATCATAGGGATAGCGTACAATCCTTTCCTGAGTGAAGACATACGTGATTGCTTCTTTGATTATGAGCAGGCGGTGTTACTAAGATTCTGGACGTCCAGAATTGTAACGATCAAGAGCGTCAACAATCCACAGGCCAAATTGGGACTGGTCTTGGAAGAAGAGGTGACTGCACCTTCAGTACCAAAATCCGACAAGAGAGTGGAATTCGGGTTGGGATTCTCAGATGAATTACTGAGAACGAGCTTGATGGTAGTGTGGGAATTGATGAAGCCATCATGGTGTCCTAGTCCCAACGCTGACTCAATATTACGGGCGACACAAGACATACAGAGGGAACTGAATGCGGACTGTAACCTGCGTGACCTCAACATCATATATAATGTGATGATAACAGCCTCTAAGAGCGACGGAGAAGATAAAGTGGAGTTGCCTGGCTGGGGACCAGAAGACTGGGTCAAACCTGGTAGCTGTCTGGCGGAAGTCTGTGGACTAGAGGGTCACGTTTGTGGAAGTCTAGACTGTGTGAAAACCCTGGAGAAACAACACAAGCAGTTGACAGTATTGTTTGGAAATGTAGTGATGAAAGCAAGAACGGAAACGGAACTGATAGCAGATTGCCATGGAGGAACCGATGTGAATCTAGTGACAGCACTAGGATTCTACAGCATGTTTGGTTCTTTAGAGTCACTATTGAATCTAGAACAGAAACATGAGATGGTCACAGCCATCAGCGTAGAAGTATTCCCAGGAGTTCTGCAGACTGAGCAGAAGTATATAGGAAAATGGAGGGAAGCAATCGAAACAGAGATGAACATCAGATACAGCGAAACTTATTGTAGACCATCAGGAGCACGATATTTGGTGGGCTCAACGTTGGCTCCAATGTGCAAGAGCAAGTATCCTGTACATTTCGTAGCTGTGGACGTGAAGAGTACAAGAACGATTGTGGATCAAGCCTTTTCAGTGCCGAAGTGCGTGAGGTTGGCAAGAATGTCTGAAAAGTCCTACGAGTTACTGTGTAAGATTTTCTCAGCAGTTCCAGAGAGAACCAAAGAAGAGTTGGAGTCAATATTGGGAAAGAAGTTCATGGGATATGTGAGCGGGAACTTCAGTGACTTTGAGAAACAGAAGCAGAGAGGATCAACTGTCACAGATTACAATGCAGTAGATGAGAATGATGAAATCACCGAGTGATGATGGAAGTGGAACCATTGCTGGAAGCTTCGGGAAAACGTAATTGGAGGAGCATCATGTTGACGCATGATGAGTTTCCTTGCCACTGCTTGTTGCAGACCTGGTGGTATTCCAAGCGTAGTAATCTGATGTTGATCTGGGACTCTGGAGAGCTGCTCTCCATGGGTTTACCAGATTCATCACAGCCCGTAACAAAAGTGATAGTGGGAGTTATGATGGCGATACGATGGCTGGAAGCTCATGTTAGAGAAAATAATAGACAGGAGGCACCAACGAGAGAACAATTGCGGAAATTAGATTGTCTAAAAGATTTAGATCTTTTTGAGACAATGTGCAAAGTTCTAAACATTCCGATGGAAGTGAAGAAGATATGGGCAAGAAAACGATTGATGCCATGGTTCAGAGCTAACATGACTGCGTGGTTGTACGAGTATGCGAAAAAGCATATGTCGAAGCATGGCAGAGTGTACAGTGAATATCAGCTGGACATTGGGGCAGGAGCTTTCAAGCGAGCTTTCGTGACTCATCGGAATGCAGTGACCACCGCTGTGAAAAGAATTTCCAGAACGAGTGAGCGTAGTGGAAATGAGAAAGCAGAGATGCTGAAAGAAGATCTGGAGAGAAACGTGACGTTGTGTCTCCACAACAGCTTCTGTAGAAACAGAGAATCCAACGTGGATCCCCTACCTTAGTGTAAACAGAGGGTAGAAGAGCAGAAGTGTTGGAGGACGGCTTCCAACAGCGTCAGGATAGTCAACGACGTGCTACAAGACACGGAAACCGAAAGGGCGGAGTCAGCATCGCAGGAGGAGGAAATGGAACATTGATGAATGGTCGAGAAAACAAGAGGCAACAAGAAAGAAAATTAGAAGAATTTAGAAGTTTTAGAACTTCTAAACGACGGAAAAAGGAGAGAACAAAGGGATGATGAAGAAACGTTAAAACTCAGAATTGTTTTATGTGTGTGAAAAACTCAAGTGAGAAACCAAGCAACCAAGTTGTAATTGAAAACTGAAACATTTTGTTGAGTTCGGAAATTGTTGCATTTATAAATTTGCATTTTGATTTTAGCAGAAGTGGCTTTAGAGACACTTATTATTTATTTAGAAAGGCTTAAGAAAAGAGTATATTTAAATATTCCAGCCTGCATGATTGTTTTTAATCACTTAGGAGAACTGATCACTTTGTGGTGATATGAAGGACTTGAGTAACCTCTTGAAGAAGGAGGTTGGTGCATTGTTCTTTCTAACCACAAAGTTTCTTAGTTTTAATATTCAGGACAATAAACAAGCAAGATTTCCGAAGGGAAGGAGCCTAGTAGGATAATTTTAGCTTGTTGGTTGGCAGGACTGTCCTGCAAGCCAACACCTTTTAAATCTAAGAGAAAAAGTTTTAATCGGGACATAGACACTGGAAGTCAGAAAACATGTTTTATCTTAGGTTATATTCTCAATGTGCAGATTAATGAAAGAATTTGAAGGCTATAGTGATGTAGTATGATGCCATTTATATTCTGCAGTGAGTTGATATGACGTGGATAAAAGTAATTCCGTGCATTTTGTAAATTCTGTTCGATGGCACTGTAACCATTTTATGAACATTGCGTGATTCAATGAGGACATTGACCGGACTGTCCGGGGAGTATGTGACATTCGACCAGAATGGCCAAAATGCAGTCTCTGCAAAATTCGGGATTTTAGCAGCAAGCCTTCCGAGTTGATGAATTAGAAGGATTAACGACGTTATTCCGATGATTAGCAGAACGGTGAAGGTCAAGATATTCCCGTATTTTAAAATTTTAAATTTTCGAAGTGGTGACGTAACATTTCTGAGAAATGCTAAAACGGCCATTTTTACCAAAAACGAGGGAAAAAACAGAACAACTTTTATCTGTGATTGCGAACAGAACGAGAATCGAGACTAAAAAACGACAACGAACTACCGAAGAGCAGAGGACGTTCCGAGTTGCAACTATTGTGCTGTTACAATAGTTGCAAGGCCGTTGCGAACAACGGTGAAGGGTAAAAACCAGCCCTCCGAGTTAGCGTGAACCTGAGGTTAAGGAGCTTGATTCGCCGGATTCAAGAATCCGGAAGGGTCTCGGGACGGGAACTTTTATGAACTTGTATTGAATTTTAGCATCCTGTCATGTCCTGACTTGAATTTAACTGATATTTAGATTCGTTTTGACAAGAATGAGGAGCTAGGAGTTGGGGGAAAGGGTTGATCCATCTTCGATGGAGATGATGATTTTTATCTACTGAACAAAAACAAAAGTAATATAATAAGTAGTAGCCCTGCTTTTAGGAGTGACCTCGTGGTCTGGGGATACTGAGACCCAGCCATGAGCTCACTAATTTTGCATGTAATTCAGTTAATTTGAGCGTTCTGGTCGAAGCCGGAGAGCAGTGACGTTTTTGTCGACCCGATGTTGGAAAAGACCACCGAAAAGTACTGGCTTGGTAGAGACGGTGAAAAACATGCAAAGCTCTGTTTAGACGCTGGCCAGTCGTCTTAAGACTTAGTTTTGTTATCCGTCGATATGTATCTTCCGGGCGAATGTTACAAAGGCACAATTATTACAATAGTAGACGGTTTAACAGTCCTGGGATCGGTTATAGGAACAACATCAGCATGCGATAGATACATGGAAAGCGAAATTGAAAAGACAGCTACCCTAACTTAAAAGCTTTCAAAATAGCAAAAAAACATCACCACAAAATTTCGTACTCCTGCTACACAACGGAGGTCCAAAAAAAGCTTTTTAACCAGATGATGTTGGTTTTTTTTTTCAAATTTTCAACATTAAAATGGTGAGGGGGGAGGTTTCAAGAGGTAACAAAACATGAAATTTGTTTGAAAATATACTGCGACATCTTTCTGAAAGGCGTAATCATAAATATTAAACAGTTTGAGAGCTCTAAGTGTCATATTCTCAAGGGACTTGGTTATGTTCAAGGGACCACTCTATCGTAGTAGTACCGAAACTCATCAACAATCATGCAAGCAAAATAGTTCACTCTCTTTTAACAATTCAAGTGTTTGCTTTTTTGGGTTTTTGACGGGGCAACATTATTTGACATGACAACGAAGGACGCTTGATATATTTTTGTTACCTTCACATTGAACTCTACCTATATTCTTCTGAAACTTTTGGTATGTGGATTTCAGAGACGATATGGGGGATACATCTCGAGATGAGCTGTCAGCTGTATTCTCTAAATACGTTGATCACAAGGACGGTAAAGGTCAGACGTATATAACTGGTCCTGGTTTTATCAAAAATTTTGTTGGCGTAGACATTGAACAAGGTGCTAAAGACGAAATAATGGCTCTCCTTACTGGCATCGTCGACACCACTCAGGACGGTTTGATATCCTTCGAGGAATTCTGCGCTTTCGAGAAATTTTTGACGGCGCCCGATGTTTCCTATCGAATGGTATTTCGCCTCTTTGACCAAACTAGATCGGGATTTGTGACGTTCGCGGAATTCAAAAATGTCTACTCGAAGACTGTTGCGTTTAGCACTGTACCGTTTGAATTCAATTGTGAGTTTGTTCACCGACATTTTGGTGAGAAAAAAACTCGCGAGCTTCCATACTCTGATTTTGTACAGATGTTGAACGGCTTGCAACTAGAGCATTTGAAGCAAGCATTTGAAAAACGAGACAATAGTAAAGACGGAATGATCTTTCCACTTGATGTACAAGAGGTTATGGCATCGCTTCGAAGCAACTCCATGACACCATTCATTTCCGAGAACCTAGTTGCCTTAGCTAAAGGAAACAAAATCAGCTATTCATCATTTCTTGCCCTGAATAAAATTCTATCAAATATTGAAATGTTCTCAAATTTGTACGACCAGACCCTCATCGCGAAATCAGCCGAAAAACGAAAAGTTGAGGATTATGTTTTGAAAGACGAGTTTATGACCACTGCCTTAGAACACGCCGATGTTACACCGGAAGAAATTGAGCTTTTGTTTCAAATTGTCGCTTTTGAACACGAAGAGGGACGTTTGACAAAATCTGACTTTGATAAACTGACGCCTTTGAGAGTGCAGCTAGCTGTACCGATCAATGTAGAACAAAATATTCCAGCGCCTGAAAAGGACGGAGCTCTTCTTTCAATCGCAAAACGGATGTTCAATTTTGGCCTAGGGTGTGTTGCGGGATGTACTGGCGCTACTGCGGTGTACCCTATTGATCTGGTGAAAACACGACTTCAGAACCAGCGAAAGTCAGCTGTTGTCGGGGAAGTGATGTACAGAAACTTTTGGGATTGTTTCAAAAAGGTCATCAGGTTTGAAGGATACCTTGGACTTTATAGAGGTCTGCCACCTCAATTGGTCGGTGTCGCACCAGAAAAATCGATCAAGCTGACCATGAATGATCTGGTCCGTGACATGGTGAAAAGAAAGGACAACTCTATCCCGCTATGGGGTGAAATTTTGGCGGGTGGAACGGCCGGAGGATGTCAAGTTATATTCACAAACCCTCTTGAAATTGTGAAAATTAGACTTCAAGTAGCGGGAGAGGTCAAAAGTGCGACCAAAATAAACGCGATATCTGTTATGCGAGAACTTGGAATAACTGGACTGTATAAAGGTTCCAGAGCTTGTTTCCTTCGTGATATTCCCTTCTCGGCGATATACTTCCCACTGTATGCGAATTTGAAACTGGCGTTTCAAGATGAAAGTGGTCAAACGTCGATGGGTAATCTGTTTATAGCCGGTGTTTTGGCTGGCGTTCCGGCACCGTTTTTGACAACACCTGCAGACGTCATTAAAACCAGGCTCCAAGTGAAAGCTAGGGAAGGCCAACAGGTGTACTCAGGGGTCGTTGATTGTGCCCGGAAATTGATGCGTGAAGAAGGTTGGAGGGTGTTTTGGGTGGGGGCAAATCAAAGGGTATTTAGATCAGCTCCTCAGTTTGGTGTGACACTACTCACTTACGAGTTCCTCAAGAAAGCCTTGCCATGGGGAACAAAAGACGCACAACCCCATAGAATTGCGGACGCGAAATCGTCGAAGCACATTATGCAACCTGTGAACCCCGATCACATAGGAGGGTTGAGAACTGCATCTTTGGCGTTCGCGGGAATCGAAAGCAAGTTCGGACTGTTCCTACCAAAGTTCAAACATCCTGTTAACCAGCACATCTATCAAATCAAGAAGACCTAATGAAATCGACAATACTGACTTAAACACAATAATATCTTAACATGCACATTGAATTTCGTTTAAATTTTTCAAGGTTAGATTTTGTTCACTCTTTGTCAATCGCAATTTATCAACTATTTTTTTATTTTTAGCATATACAGTTTTTGATGGCGATTTTGATGAAGTTTGACTGAATTGGTTTCAGACAGCGCTTTGAACATATTTGTATTCGAAGTCTGCTTATTTTGTTGAATAATTTTAATCGTGTACAGAGCAGCATATGGAACTAACAGACTATTGTTAAGTACTGCAAAATTTAAAATTTTCAAGCATAGTAATAAACAGTTTTAGTCGAAGATATATAATTGAAGATTTTTCGGATATGTTTTTTCATGAACAGTAAAAAGTTCACGCGGTAGAATTAGCTTCAAACAAATTGATTATGAAAAAAATATGATTCAGCTTGAGAGTTGACTTTGATTTTTTTAAAATATGCATGCAGATAAACGAGAGTAACATGTTTCTGAAAACAGGGGCAAAATTAAGGATCAGCCTTTCCCCTCTCACAATCTCGACACACTAATCACCCAGTGGCCGAATGGTCCAACCGAGACTTTGGCGCCACCATACACAAACTACAGAACAACGGCATTCTTCATTTACTTAAAACTCATAGAATTTTTGACGAATTAAAAAATCCCTCCTCGGATAAATTCTAAGTCCACTTAATCTTTTTCAAAATCCGGACGAATTTTCTCATCGCCCAAGTTGTAAAAGCTCCGAGCAATGTTATTTTAGTCTTCTTGAGGTCAAGTCACAAGAGAAGTAGACACAATTGCTTTTCATTACTTGACTCCATCATTTGATCAAACTGTTTCAAACTGAATTGTGAATAAAATTAAATAAGACGAATAATTGTTCAACTTGAACTCTCGGTGACCTTGACTGTGGGTGTTTCGAAATCAGACATTGAATTGATCACAATTCAGCCGAGATAACAAGTGTGTTTATGCAAGAATCAAGTTTGATATGGAATCAATTATGCATGCGCTCTCGTACGAGTGTTGAAATTAGAGTAGATTTTTAACTAAGTGATTGTGAACTTATACTCAAGAACTTTTTTGTCTGATAGCGGATTTTTATTTTGAAATTATCGATTGCAAGATGTGAATTACAAGTGACTCAGCAAGGTAAAAAAACATGCTTTGACCATACGATAGTTTTGGTTGGCTATTATGACAACGCCTCATTATTCTTTCTTTCACCAATCGATAATCATTGAAACATTATCATGTTTCTAAAATCTCGAACTCTTGTCTAAGTGTGTAGTCAACAACTTAGTCATTGAATCGGCCTGTGAAGCCTTATGATACTATACAAAAAATAAAGGTTATCAAATGAGCGCTAATTTTTCAAATGAGAGTTTCCTTAATTTTCAAACACTTAAAAACATGTTCGAACATGTTTAAAACAAAGCACGTTTTAAGCAAAGCAAACCTGCTAATGATCTAAAATTAGCCGGTTACTTTACAACTAGGTGTGACCGGTCGCTATTCGGAGCCGATATACCATATCATAAAAAAGCACAAAACGAAAAACAATTTTAAAATTATCTGTCGAAAATTATGACTTCATATAAGAGTTAAAAAAAAACAACTCATCATTTTTTAAAACGAATTTGATATTAATAACTGAAACTTGTCCGCCAATTTTTGAATTATTTGCGAGAGCTGGTGTCTTGTAGTCTGGAACTAGTTTTTTTTCATGAAACAACACAATTTTGCTTACAAAAGTGTAAAAACTGATTTTGCCTTATAATTGAACCTTAACAACTTGCAGGATCCTTCTCATGGGTTCTAGAGGTAAACGCGGTCACCTTTGCACCTTAAGTCTCGGGTTTAAATCCCAGTCGGACATTGTTTTTTTGGCAGTAAGTTTGAAAATAAGTGGATTTGAGTTTTCATTTGTCTGCTTACGTTGTGTCGGCTTAGTTGCCAGGTCAAAGGGTTTTCTTGTGCTAAAGCAGTTTTTCTTTTAGGGATGTTGATTCACTCCTTTAACTTACTAGCCCTGGCTAAATATATTTCTTTTTTTTCAATCAAATGGTTTATTCAGCCTTAATAATTTCGGCTTTCTTATTGATTTATTTAAAATAATGTGTATGGTCTGGAAGGGCGAAAATTGATAATTGTTCTCAAGAATTTTTATGTCGAAAATGGTCTGAAGTTACAATTTTGCGAGGCCAAACTGCATTTTGTGAGTTGTAAGCGGAATCTGCAACAGGCCAAACGAAGAATTATCGCGGAATCCGCAACACTACTGATTTTTTTTTTTTATTTTCTGCGCTGTTGTGGATACCTCAGACAAATAGCTAAAAGACTTGCTCAAAACTGATCCAAAATAGGCAAAAAGAATCGGCAGCAAAATTTGTATCCGCAAGAATTTGTAAAATACCTAAGCAATTTATAATACAAATGTTTAGTTAATTTAAGCTGTCGTGGAATCCTAAATTGTAAAAGAAAATCCCAAATTTGAGCGGAAACCACAAATTGTAAGCAAGTTCTCCAAATTGGTAGCCGAATCGGCAAATTGTTACCGGAGTCCGCATTAGTTTGCGGAATCCACCTACATTTGTTGAATCCGCTGACATATGCAGATTCCGGAAAAACTAGCTCTATTTGCTCGTAGTAGAATCCGCAGCAAATTTAATGTGCCGACAAACTTAACGTTGAAAAAACTAGCGCGCGGAATCCACAGAAAATTTGTAGGTGGAAATCATTTACATTTTGGACCACGTTTAATGACTTGTCTCTGGATTCTACTGGCCTACAGACGCCAAATTGTGCGCCTATCCTGTACACCTCGTTAAGAAAAATTTGAAAAAATGTCTTGTAGCCTTTTTTGTTTCTGGCTGAAAAAGGGTCCATGCAGATTTTGCTGGCTTAGTAGCCGTTCGTTCAATACCGAAGACTTTTGTAAGGCTGGTGATTGTGTTTCTCGGATAATCTTGAGAAAATATTTTGTTTTTGTTTTTGAAAACCAAGTTTTTCGACTGAGCTGTTTTGTCTCAGTAATTTGAAGCTACTCCATGCGAGTGCAAGTGTCTTGTAATCTGGAACTAGGCAATTTTCCATAATGCAGCTTTTTCGATTCATCGGCTAAAATTTGAGGTTGCTCAACTATCAAGCCTTTATCCTTTTTTGGTGTCTTCCTCTTTAGTCTAATATAATATTTAAGCATCTGCTTGAGTTTCCGAAGGTCCAGGTTTCGAGTCTCAGCTGTTCTCATACGTTTTTTTTATGTCTTCCGATTCCTTTCGTATCATGGTTTTCGTCTCATTTTTTTGTCCGCTTGATTTCTGTTGTTTTCTCCCCGAACGATCATGTTGATTTGCTTCAATTAGTCGTTGTTTTTTATGCAGAAAAGTATGAGTGTTTTTGAAGATAGTAACTGTTCAGTAGCAAAAATCTTTGATCTAAATTTGTAATTATAAAGTGATTCAGATATTATCTTGCTATATCGTCACTTTTTGTATTGGGGGAGATATGTTTTTGTTTGTTCGGGCTATAATTTTGTTCCATTGTTCTCTGAATTTGAAAACAAGGCAAAGTATAAAATACTCTTTGTTTACTTTCAATCGTTTGTTGTGTTGCAAGTTTTGCGAAGCTCTTCGCCGCTTCTGTGTGTATAACTTGCTGAAGCACGCTTGTGGAGATAAACGATCTCCATCATCACAAACCATTTTCAGGCTAATTTGTGCTCTGAATAGGCGCACAATGTAGTGTCTGTGGGTCTCTGGAAGCCAGAGACAAAAACGTGTTAAAAGTTTGTCGGAAAAAAAAGAAAGCGGAGAAAAAGTAAAAAAAAAAGAAGAATGAGTATCGTTGTTGCGGAATCCGCTTACAAATCGCATGGTCTGGCTTCGTAATGACTAGAGTCTTCCTTCTTGCTAAACTATATTAATTGGAAATAATGTTTAAAATTTGGGTTTTGAAATTTTATCAGTGCGTTATTTGTTGCATTCAATTACTGACATTTTAAATTCTTTATTTGACTATTTTCTTAGTAGAAAATATTTTTTTTTCTGTTAATTTGTATTAGGGTTCTTGTTGTTGAGAGCTATTTGTACAAAGTTAAATAACAAAATCAGCTTCAAAGTTGTCGTTAAGTATAAAAATAGTCTTTAGCAACTTAAATTCAGAGAAGTAATGTTCCATTTTACAGCCGTTGCTGTTGTGTTGAAACTCCCATTGAAAAGTTAGTTATCTCCAGTGGCGTGCACCGTATTTTAACGAGATTTACTAACTAGGAATGGTTTAAGTAAATTTGCAAGTCAAAAACTGCCAACAATTTTGCTTTCGATTGGAAAACGTTATCAAGTAGCAATCAAAAACAAAAAATCAACTAACCAAAAAATAAGCAAAATTTGCAAGCGTAGGGCATATTAAACCCATAACAATATTTTTTCGTTTTGCTTGACCAGAAATTAGTCAGCAACGCAAAAAAAAATTGTTTTTTGTTTGTCAGAAATCAGACTTTTTTCACATTTTTCAGTTTTTCAATCCTGAGTGGCAGATATTTTGTGAGTTTCTATCTTTTTATTTGACGACTGAAAAAGGGGAGTAACTTTGCCTTCAGATGTATTTTGTTTTGTTTCCACGTGAATTCAGAAGACCTCAAATAGACATTAGTGTGCCGAGTAACATTTCATGTTAAAGCCTTGATAGTTGTGGTTTTTACGTCATCACTATTTTTTTCAACAGTTTTTCAGTCTTTTTCCACCAAGTGTTATAATACGACAAAACACTTTTTATTGAAGCCTTGAATTAGTAATTTTTGCAAAAGACTTTTGAAATTCCTTATTTGACCGTTTTCTTGATATAAAACAGTTTTTTTGTTAACTTATTTCCATACCCTTGTTGTTATTAGCTATTTATACAATATGGAATTAAAGTTGTCGTTAATTATAAAAAATACTATAACTTCAATCAGCGCATCATATGTTTTTTAAAAACTGATAAAAATTGTTCCAACAAAATTTTTTCGGCTCTTTAATATTTCAAAAGCAACTGCAAAATCATTCTCAGTTTATTAAAGTTTGAGCTTAGTTCTCTCATCGCACTACACAGAAAAACAAGTGGAACACAAATTTTGTTCACACCATAATTGCGATCTACCACTGGAACTGGAATTGACAGAGCTAGTGCAGGTGGACGACGAAACTGTACCTTATGCCGAAGAGGACTGGGACTGCCCAGAACAATTGAAGATGACAAAGGTGTACAGCCTGACTTTCCCTTCCCCATGAAACACGCCAGAGCAAAAGAGGGAAAGGCAAGAAGAAATACAATCCCTATGGCGAGGATTTTGTCATAGACAGGAT